TGTAATTTTTTTTTTTTTTTTTAGTGTTGTCTTTTTCACATAAGAATCTTTTTTCTTAGTGAGTTGTTTCACTAATGACATTGATACAAAAGGTGTACACACATTCATTTTCTTAAGGAAACTTTTTCTAATAGCTTTGATTACATTGCAAGAAAATTGGAAATTACAGAAACGTGGAAAGGTAGAAACAAAAATACCTCAAAATTCCATTATCTAGACATGGCCACTGCTAACAGCATGCCATATCTTTGTTGGGAGGGTTTTTTTTTGTTTTTTTTTCAATCAACCATAGGAGTCACAGGTTTATGGAAATGGAAGCAATCATCATGACCGTGGGGTCTCAATTCCTTTGACTCCCGGGGGTTACTGGAAGCCCACAGGCCCGGTCCTCCTGACTACCTTCCTCGGTGTTTTCTCTGCCTTCACCTCAGAGGGGAAAGGTCACTTGAAACCATTGCTGCCAGGTTACAAGTCTTGTTGTATTTATTAATTTGGGGGTAGGAGGCTCCCAGTTGTGTGTGTCAGCCCCGTGTATCTAAACAGGGGGAGCAGAGAAGGCTGGCAAATATTACTTGGCTCAGTGGGAGCCTTAGAGACAGTGAGGGGGGCAGAAAGTTACTTTCCTATTGTGAGGCTTGCCAAATGGTCTCTGAGAAGCTGTGATATCATTCCCGCGCTGTGCCAAGCGGCATGGAAACGGCTCATCTTGGCAGACATCTAGAGCGAGCGTGGCTAGTATGGGCCTTTATCAGAAATAGTTCCATAGGCAGTGTTTGCATAACCGTGGCGGAGTGTGAGAATAAACACAGCTGTGGCGTTGCCCTAAATATTTCTATTCAGCGGGGAATTAAAAGAGAACTTTATCGCTGAACTACAGATAAACACAATTCATCAAGCAGTGGTCAGTTCAACTGGGGAACAAAATAGGAGTTATAAAAGACTGGCCTGCTGAAAATAGCTCCAATCAGCCAGCCTGACTTTATTGCTCCGTTAGTCCCTCCTTCCCTCCCTCCTTTCTCTCTGTTCCAGAAATACAGGACTCATCAGCCATCAAGCAAGTTGTCTAGGGTTTTGGGGTTTTTTTATGCCATGAAGGTAGCAGAAGGCACTCTGATTACTGAGCATAGGCCTGCCGTGGGCCAGCGTGCTTCCAGGCGCTTTACGTATGTCCCTCGTTTCAGAAGGCTTCCCTTTTCTTTCTGGGTTATAAAATTGAATGTGGGTGACAGATTTTTTTTCTTTGCCAAGGAGAAGCCGTTTTAACTACAATGTGTGTTGAAATGAAAGCACGATCACCACAGTTCTAAGTGATCCGCATCCTAGGAGTTACCTGTAGCATCCTGATATTTTAAATATTAGTGCATTCCCTCTCAGACGTGCACAGGAACAGCGATTTTCAACGGGTGAGAATTTCTAAAACACGCAATACCTGCCTGTTCAGCCAGGGGCGCTGACCTCTTTTCCCTTCGATGGTCAAGGAGAAAGTGACAATGGCCAATAAACCAATAGCCGTCTGGTGTAAATGAATCAAAATTATACCTTTTTTGTGTGTGTCAGATTTGCGAAAAGTATACTTTTTGGTGTCCCGCGGAATTTTAGTAATTGGCTGAGGGGTGGAAAAGGTTGAAGATTGCTGCACAAGAAGAGTTACATGGCGCAGTAATTTTCTAGGATTTCCATATCAAAGTGGGGCCAACTGGAAAGCTTAAAACCATGGGAATTTATTCTCTTTTAGTTCTGGAGGCCGGGAGTATGAGATCAAGGCGTTGGCTGGTTCTTTCTGGAGCCTGAGAGAGGAACCATCCCTCCCCTCCGTCCCGGCTGCTGGGGGTCGGCGCATCTTTGGCATTCGGGGGCCTAGGGAGGTGTCGCTCCAGTCTCTGCCTCCACCTTCACATCGCCTTCCATCGGATTTGGGGCGCACCCTAGGCCAGCGGGTACATGAATGAGAAAGGGATCTCGCCGCCATCCTGGCTTTAATTACTTCTGTGCACATTCTGTGTCTGCATCGGGCGCATCCTGAGGTTCTGGGTAGACGTGAATTGGGGGAGGAGTGGGGAGACTACTGAACCTGTTACACACGGGGGGCTCCTTGGGGACAGGGACCATGGAGCCTACTTGCCTCTGTGGCACCCAGCACACGCACAGCACCTGCGAGTGTCCCGGGATATTTGCAAATACAGCCTATCTTTGTGCGAATGTGCAAAGAAATTGCTGCATGTTTCCAACTTTAATCTGCGCCTTCTCTTCACTAGCCTGTACCTCTCTTTACAAGTTGGCTCTCCCCTGGGGCTACGCTGGCAACCCAACAAAGAAAATATTTTTTCTTTTTTGCTGACATGAGTTGTTTGTGTGTATGTGTGAGAGATACCTGGGGAGCGGCTGCTTCCCAAGCTGTCTTTTTTTTTTTTAATACCTCACTCAAGGACATACTTAGAAGAAGGGAGAGAGAGAGATGAGGGGAGAGAGAGAAAGAGAGAAACACCGATGTAAGAGAAACATCGATCAGTTGCCTTCATACATGACCCAACCGGGGCTCAAATCCTCAGCCCAGGTATGTGTCCTGACCGGGAATCAAACCGGCAACCCTTTGGCGCACAGTACAACCCTCAGCCAACGGAGCCACTCCACCCAGGCCCAAGCTGTCATTTCTTTAAAAACAAATCTAGGCATTCAAAAGAAAATATTGTAAAAGAAATATTTGCCTGCCTTAAATTCCTAGAGTAATAAATATTGATCGAATACTTTGAAAAGCAAGTTGAACTCTCATTAATGCTTTTCAAAAATCCCAGTTAGTGTTTGGCCATGCAGCTTGACTGACAAGTAAGAACTTCAGGAGTGAAAGAAAACTCACCCCAGACTGATGGCCCATTTCTTTGAAAAGTACTGAAGAGACATGACATTTTTTCTTCTGGATGAAGAGCAACGTCACCTAAAGAATCCTCTGTTTCATCACATTAAGCCTTTGGAGTCTCAGTGAGGAGATTGTTTTATAAATTTCTTACCAAAAAAAAAAAAAGTTAATTATTGCTAAAACTCCTCCAGACACATTTCACTTTCTACATCTTTCCTTTCTTACAACTTAAGTTTATGAGTAAAAAGGCCTCCTCACTCTAAAAGGTTGGTTTCGACTGTAAATGAGGCCAGGTTACTTGGGACTCCTGATTTGCAGGTCATCTGCAAAATGGTTGTTTTGGAACTCAGGAGCTAAGTAGGACACTTTGGGGCATGCTTGCCGGTGATGACTTCACACAGCAGTGGGGGCTACTGGAAGTTCTCTGGTCTAAAGGAGAGACACTGTGATACAGTATTCAGTCCAGGGGCTTTTGACCCTAACCAGTATCACTGACTTTGTGGCCTTGGGTACACAACTTCTTTCTCTCCCTCCAAATTTCAGTTTTTCCTTCTGTTATATGGAACTAATAATATCAGTAGAGGGCTACCAGGAAAATTACATAAAATAAAAATATTTCAACTTTGCCTGGCATGTAGTAAATACTCAATGAAGGGTAGCCTGATTATTAGGGATGAAAAGAAATTAATGAGTGGATTATTTCATTCAGTGTTGAATTCCCTAATCCGTGTATCTTTCTAATGCAAACATGAATGAATGAATGGTATTTCTATATATACATGGATGAATAAAATGTGGGGGTTTTCTCTGCAATAAAAATTATCTAAAAATTATAGACATGGAGAACAGGTTCATGGTTGCCAGGGGTTTGGGATGGTGGGAGGGAGGGGAGCACTTGTTGCTGGGGGGAGAACTTTGTAGCGATGGACTTGTCTTGTACCTTGACCACAGTGATGGTTACAAGACTCTGCACATGACAGAATAGCATAGAACTAAACAAGGTCAGTTTCCTGGGTCTGTTATTGTATTATAGTTACATAAAATATAGCTATTATCCAGAGAAACTGGGTGAAAGGGTACACCCAGACCTGTGTACTGTTTTTGCAAGCCATGTTAATCTTTAAGTACTTCAAAATAACAAGTTACACACAAAAAGTATCTGTCTTTTGCTGCAATTACAGTGTTCAGGTCTTTCACTGTATCTCAGGTGATCCAGTTGGAGTTCTGGTTTAAACTTTGGTGTTTGACTTTAAACGTAATATTCTTAGTGCATATGTCTTCCCATTGTCACCAGGCCATTTCACTCATTTGTTATACAAGTCCGAGGATTAAGTGGTAGGGGGATGTGCCCCAGGCAGGATTCCTAAAGAATACAGTTTAATCATCTTTGATTCAAAAATATTCACAATTAACACTGAGCAGTAGATTAACTATGTGGCTAGGTGTTTCAATCTGTTTTCTGCCAGCAGCAGCAAGGATATGAGTATCTGATTAAAATATGCTGTGGATTGAGAGGTAAGGCAAATTAATATCGGCTCACAGTTTAGAAGTCTTGATATGAAACTACTAATCAGCCAGCCAGCTCAATAACAGGAAAACCAGACAGCCTTAATTCAGGTGATATGGTGGTTGCATAGCTATGCCCTCGGTATCTGCACGAATGCCTGGGCCCTCAATAAACATTTGTGGATGAATGAGTGAGTAAATGAATGACAGGACCATTAAGATAAACCATGCAAAACTGACCAAGTCTAAAAGTAAGAGTAAAGAATTAGTTCGCCTTTGTGGCCCAGGACTGGAGGGAGATGATCTGCCAGAAAACCTTCTAACCCTTCTATTTTTGCTTCCCTAGGCAGCTTGAAATCCACTCGCCAGATGCTAAGCACACGGTGATCCTAAGGAGCAAGGACTCAGCCACTGCCCAGGCCTGGTTCAGTGCCATCCATTCCAACGTTAGTGACCTGCTGACCCGAGTCATTGCTGAGGTCAGAGAGCAGCTGGGGAAAACAGGCATTGCTGGGAGCCGAGAGATCAAGCATCTTGGCTGGCTTGCAGAAAAGGTAAGGAAAATGTGTGTGTGTGTGTGTGTGTGTGTGTGTGTGTGTCCCCTAAGGTTTGTCCAGCACTTATGGCAACCACTGAAGTCAGTTACCTCATTCCATAGGCTGATTCAATCACAGTCTCTTTAGATTTATTTTCCATATCCAACAGGTTAGCATTTGCGTTTTACGGGGGCTCTGGCTTAATCAACTTTGATTTCCCCACATATACTCCAGTATGTGGCAGTTGTTTGTTGAACGGATGCATGAGTGAGCAAATGGAAGGAGGGTTTGATTCTCACATCTACACATGAAGGGGAGGGAAAAGAACTCAGACTCACAACAGAGCGGTTGCCTTGGGAGGAAAGGAAGTTGAAACTGTTGCTTAAAAGGGTTTGTGTGGGTTTGCTGAACCTGCTTGTCAGTAATGCAGGTACATTTACAAGTAATAGCAATGATAATGTCAGCAAGAATGACTTTGAGCAACCACTGCATGCTCACTTTTTTCATATATTATCTCATATTTGATCTGTATTCTTATGCCAGCAGACCCTGCATGTCATCATTTATGAGCACCTGTTTTGTGCAAGGCATGGTGTTGGGCAGGAGCAGGGAGCGGATGTATAAACAAAGGCTTAGTCTCTGTTCTTGGGGAGTAAAGCTGCTGTGGAAAGGACCTGGTCATGTTAACACTCACTCTGATTTCTTTTCCCAAGCTATGTGATACGTTGAGGATAGTAAAACTCACTTTACAGTGATCTCCTGGGAGTTAACCCTTCTGTTCATTTCAAAGGATTGAGCCTTTGCCATTGTCCCTACACCTGATTGCTGTCCCTTGAACTTGACCTTGAGTGCTCAGGAACAACTGGGCTTTTGGGACAGCCTGACCTCCCAGTGACTCCTATTCTAATAGGCGGTAAATGGGAATAATGATTGTCACAATAACAGCTTTCCTGCCAGTGAACCCTGTCATCTGAGAAGGCCCAGTCAAATGGCACTTGAAAATAATACATGTACACAGCGTTCGGCTGTCTTCCACCATTGTTCTTTGTTTGTACCAACTCATGCGTGGGGCTCAGCCACAAAGCTCAACACTGAGAGAGCTGTTTGGTTTGGTATTGTCCCATCTCTCACAGATTTCAGAGGACTAAAGGGACAGCGCAGGTGGTGGTAGCTCCGAAATCATAATAAACAGAAACTACGGGTATCCTCTCGTGACCTTATATGTCAGGGTTCTTGACGAAGACAACACTGCCAATCTGGATGATGTCATTTTAGAAGCCACAGCCTATAACACTCTCCACTTTATACTCTATCCAAATATATGCGTTTTCACTAGGAGAAGGCCTATTAGGGATCTTTTATTAGCAAATGACAGAAAGCTCGACCCAGCTTGAGCAAAAAAGGGGATGTAACACTTCTTATAATTACAGTGTTGATGGGCAAACTTCAGGCATGGCTGGATCCAGGGATTCAAATAACGATAGGCCTGCCTCTCCATCTTTTTGCAGCCTTTTCTGCTTTGTTGGTTTATACTCAGCATGCCCTCTTCCTTGGTCGGGCTGTTCTAGGCTTGTGTTTTTCCTTACAGTTGTCTACCTCAGGTAAATAGAGGCCTCTTTGCCCCCAAAGTTCCAACAGAAATCCTAATATTAAGCCTAAAAGGACTGCCTTAGATCATATGATCAGACCTGAGTTGGGGCTGAGATCAGCCTCATCCAAGCCATGTGCATGGAGAGATGAGGAGAGGTGATTCTCTGATGGAAAATTAGGCTGCTGTGCAAGGAAAGAACTGAAGGGATCCTGGGGAAGCAAAAGCAACATTCACTATAGAAGGAAAAGGCGAGGAGTTGATTGGGAAGAAAAATGTTCTCAGTTGGTTAGGGTCCTGAGTGGACTTGGAGATGTACCATATGTTGCAGGCTCTGGCAGAAGTTGGACGACAAACTCAAAAGGGATGCTTGGGAAGGACTTATTGCAGGAATACCTTATAAGGTGTGGCCAAGGTAAGGGGAACCAGTAAGAGATGGAGAAGTGCCCCAGAGCTAACAGTCGCAAGAGGCCACTACCATGCCTTAACCTGAAATGGCCAGGAAAAGGAGCAGTTGCCTGAAACCAGCAAGACTTGTAGCTGTAGGAAAGGACCACCCACTAAGAGCTGCGGTCTTTGGGAGAGAAGCACTATCTCTGCCAGCCCCTGCCCACTGATCTTTTGCTGGGGTCTCCCATTGACTGAAGCTGACTGGCAGCCAGAGGCAAGGGGGCCCCACAGATGCACTCTGTTAAGGTCAGATCCCAGGCCACAGAGCAGGATGGAAAGGGGTAGAGCCTGGATCCCGGGGCAAAGAAAGGCTGTCTAAAACACACATTTCTCCACCTTCTAAGTAACTGAGATGGTTTCAACTCTCAAAGGTCCTTCTCTTTCATCTCTTTTAATATAAACTACATTTAAAGTCCTTACCATTGGGAAGTTTGAAAATTGTATTGGGTCAATATTAATGATATTAAAAATTTTCCCATAGGTTCCATCTTCTCACTTATAAATTGTCTACTTATGCCTTTGCTTATACCAGATTATCAGCAGACATATTATTAGGCATTTCCATGGAGCAGTAATAAAGATGCAGAAAATCCCCGGCTGGTATTGCTAAGTGGTTTAGAGCATTGGCCCAGCACTGAAGGGCTGTGGGTTCAATTCCCAGTCAAGGGCACATACCTAGGTTGCAGGTTCAATCCCCAGCCCAGTTGGGGCACATGCTGGAGGCAGCCAGTTGATGTCTCTCTCACATCAATGCCTCTCTCTCTCTCTCTCCTCTCTCTATCCCACCCCTTCCTCCCCTCTATGCTTTCTTAAAAAAAAAAATGCATAAGAAGCTCTTCCTGTTTTTAGAATAATACTTTTGATATAATTTCAGATAATCATTACTAGATGTTTCTTTAAATTGTATTGTGCATTGTATCCATAAGAGAAATAATAACTTATCATGGACAGTTATCAGAAGCAAGATTCTTTTCTTGCCTTCATCTTTAAAACTTCTCAAACAGTTACCACAGATCTCGTCTATGGGAACCAATTCAAACCAGAATCTTTTTTGAATAAACATTTAATGATGAATCCTAGTGTGGAGACATACAAACGGTTTTTAGCAAAATGTTACAATGAATGGCAAATCCTTAATACTGTGGCTTTCTTATATCATCACAAATATCAGCAAATTTGCTTGGTATTTGGAAAGATAAGAGGTATAATCCTATATATATTCAACTGCAATTTACTTAAATTGATATCCTTTGTCTTTTCCTATACTGTTAATCTTTGATTTTGTAGATTAATAACAGTAGCTCTGGAACAAGATCTGTACATATTATATTTAATGTCAAGATTTTAGAACTGGCATTTACATGAACTAAAACAATATGAAACAACCACCTCTCCTTTGAAACCCTGTTCAGTACAAATCCTAAAACCTCCTCTGTACTACACAGGAGTACAACTTGATTTTAACATTCTTCCTCTCTATGAGACGGCCTCGGGGCTGGAAGAGTGGCTCCCGCAAAATGGCTAGTTCTTGAGTCAACCGAGAGAGAGTTCAGTGCACCCCAAGAGAGGCAAGTGAGCATGAGGAGGCAAACAGGAAAGTAATGGATTAGTACGGTTTGTGGGGAAGACAGGCCCGAGACTTGTCTGAAGGGGGATGATGGTTCCTTCTGGAGGAAGGGGACAAGCAGATCTGGTATCTTGGGTGACGTCCAGTTATGGAAGATTTTGGAAGCTGGACAGATGGCTTGATTTTGACTTGGTGGCCAGTAGGGAGCCTTCATATGCAAAATCAGAGAGAAGGAAACTTGGGGCTGATTGCTATGGACTGGATGTTCATGTCCCCCAAGATCCATATGTTGAAGCCCTAATCCTTAATCTGGTAGTATTTAGAGGTTGAGTCTTTGAGAGGTAATTAGGTTTAGATGAGGTCATGAGAGTAGAGCGCCCATAATGGGATTGGTGCCCTTCTAGGGGATGAAGAGACCAGAGCTCACTCGCTTTCTCTCTCTCTCTCTCTCTCTCTCTCTCTCCAATATGTAAGGATACAGAAGATGGTAGCTTTCTACAAGCCAGGAAGGGGGCCCTCACTAGAACCCATGATATTAGACTTCTAGCCTCCAAAGCTGTGAGAAATAAATGTTGTTTAAGCCACCCAATCTATGGTAATCTGTTACAACCTGAACTAAGACAGTGATCTAACCCAACCTCTTCTCTCTAAAAATGAGGAATCTCAGGCCCAGAGAATGGGGGTGTTTTATCTAAAGTTATACTCTAAATAAAAATACAGAAATAATTAGAGAGTGAGACAGTGCTCTGATACCATTATTCCTTTTATTTAACTTCTAAAAGAATTCACTGCAATGTTTTATTCTTTCCCTGAACTCTAGTAGCCGTTCTGTGCACTCCCCACAATATCAAGGTCAGCGCTGGGCCGGTGGCCTTTGAACTGGGGCCATATGCCTGTTCCCTTGACCTCCTGGTTCTGTTGGTTACACATAGTGACAGGTCCTGTACTGCTTTCTCCTATGAGTGCCCTCACCTGTAGATGGGCCAGACGTGCAATGTGAAGTTGTTCCCACAAGCATCTTAGACTCAAAAATGTTAATTCCTTGCAGAAATTAAAACCCCCAATCTGTCCCAAAAGGGCCTGTAAGTGTGAATCCCTACCTGAATTACTAAATGCATCATGCCTGAAACACAATTTTTCAATCATTGTTCTTAAATTAATCTTTTTACAGTTACCATGAAGGTGCCTGGTTACAGAAAAGAGAAAGAGAAGCAAAGTCCTTACTCTCTTGCTACCTAGAAAAATAATAATAAACAGACATGGCAGAATTGCTAAACTGTGTTTTGCTCAGTTCATCTGGCGTTGCCTTTGCTTAACCCTGGTTATCTCAGTTTATCTCAGTTTGCAAACTATTTCTTGTCAGAGTCGAAACACAAAAAACACAACATAACAAACAATAAGATCTAGTTGGAA